CCCAGCCCCTGTTGCTGTCCCCAGCCCCCTGGTGCTGTCCCCAGCCCCTGGTGCTGTCCCCAGCCCCCTGGTGCTGTCCCCAGCCCCCTGTTGCTGTCCCCAGCCCCTGGTGCTGTCCCCAGCCCCCTGTTGCTATCGTGTGGTGGTTTTGCATGGGAGGTGCTTATGGAAGAAATGCACAGAGAAGCTCTGAGCAGTTTCCTCCATGTCTGACACAAAACCCAATCAGTAATTAGCTCTGACAATCTGTTAAACTGCTGAGAAAGCTGATACGCCTCTGTGAACATGCACGTAAAAAAGGAAAAATCCCCTTCCTGGGGAGCCCACCAGCTGCAGCGGGAGGAGAGGCCGCGGGGCTGAGCTCTGGCTGATTTATTAAAAAATATGGTTATTGATCTAGTATCGATATCCAACTGTGACGGACAAAAACTCTCTAACAGTTTAAAGTTAGAAAGTGTATGTTTATTCGACGCCGGGCAGCGTGCGGGATAGCTCCCAAATACACACCGCACCTTCCAGGTGATTACAGAGTCTTTTTATCCATACAAGTATTGAATATACAAAATACAAATACATATTCATAATTTTAGTACATCCCATTCCCCGCTTCGTATGCTAATCACTCCAAAAGCTATTAAGCATGAGTAGTTTGTCCCTTGAAATGGGTCGGTGGTCCCTTTTATGGGGAGGGGTCCCAAAATGAGGAAGTAAATGAAGTCTTCCTCGTTCTGACCTTTCTACCTTTTCAATGCAAGTATGACAAATGAACTCTTGGTAGAACTCCCATTCCTTGTCTTCAATTGGTTTCAGAACAGAGGAGGACCACAATCGTCTTATGTTCCTAAAAGCTATTTATCAGTTTCTATATTCTTCATTATAAACCCAGCTAACCAAACATTGTGCTGACAAGCAATTAATTATTAGTTAACTACTAACTCTTAACTTCATCAAGGCCTACTCATTTATTATTCTTATTTTAATTAACTCTAGTAAGGCTTATTTCTAACTAAAATCTTAGCTCCTCAAAATCTCTAAATGCCTTAAAGTTTACGTTTCAGTTATTACAAATATTCTTACAAAAGTCAATGTGTTCTGTGTTTTCATTGCTATTCTTCTGTAAATAAACAACCCTGATTTTTCACACCCCAGTTCTCTTTCCATTTGCTTCAGGCACAGGCAGCATTGGCAGAGTTGTGTTTTCCGCTTGCTCCAGGTTCCCAGGGCGGGAGGTTCATGGGGGAGCTGGCACAGCCACCCCAGGAGTGGGGGTACCTGCACAGAGGGGTCCCACTGACAGAGGTCACTGTCTCCTTGCAGTCTCTCTGGACACACTTGGGAGCTGCAGGGGCAAATCCCAGCGTGCCCGGTCCCGTGGGATCCCATGTTGGGACTCAATGTCCCAGCCAGGGTGAGCACTGCTTGTGGCCCTGGGCTCAGCATGGCAGGCCTGGTGCTCACGCCAGTGCAGACTTCAAGCTGGCCATGCACAGCTCCGTGTTTCTCCCAAAAATATCACTGCTGCAGCACCTGGGGTTCCCCAGTGCTGGCCTTGTTATCCCTACTGCATGGAGGATCGCATGGCATGGCAAAGGATGGATCCCATGTGGCATCCAACCTGCCCTGATCCAGGCTGGGCACCAGCAGGGGAAGGTGCAGTGCAATGTCTGCACAACCCAACCAGCCATCCTACCCCAGCCGCTGCATGAGATGGAAAAGCAGGTGGGGAGTGACTCCAAACAGCGCTGTCTGATTTATCTTAGCCAAAACCAGCACTGGGGGTTGTTGGGAGAAAGGGAGAATTCACATGTTCAGTGACACATTGGAAGGACCCTGATCAGATTCACAGAGCAAGGAGAAATTCTGCATCCCTGATTTGCAGTATTTTCTGCTAAAACACACACCTGTCAGCCCAGGTAAAAGCAGATGTTCAATAGAGAGCTGGGTGGGATTAGGTAACAAGCAGATAGGAATAGGGAAGCAGCAGTATGTGACTTCTGTGTAGTTCTGAATGATGTTGTTCAAGACTGAGCTGCATAGTAATAAGAAATGGAAAAGCAATGATGGGAAAATTAATAGACGTACACAACAATGGAGATGAGATTGGATCTGAGGCAGGACTTGGTTCCAATCAAATCTGCCTGGGAAGAGGCCTGGCTTAAACTCTCATTGTTTGCTTTCCTTTGAAGAACAACAATATCCAAAATATGACAGATGAGTATTCCTGGGGTAGAGGTTGGTAATTCAACTGCAAACCTCAGGAGAGGAAGGATTGCAGGAACCACAAGAGGAAGACAAATTGTAGTCTCATCAAACAACAGAAAAGTCCAGTGCCTGTGTATAAATATACAGCGCTTGTGTTGAATTCTTCCAGGAAAATGCAAGTCTGAAGTGAATCCCAGGTGTTTGACTTCATGAAAATTAGCAAGCCCTGATTCGATTTCCTTCCCAGTCGGTGAATATGAAATCCCTGGGCAGATGCCTCAGTTCCAGGTGTAGGTAGAGTTACTGTATCCAGGAACCTCTCTCTCCTCTGCATCTCCCATTTTTCTGAAAACAAGTCCACACAGTGGCCCCAGCAGCAGCACGTGTCACCCTCTGAGCTGCACTCGCTGAGATTTAGATTTCAGCCCCACTGAAGAACAACAAAGGCTCCTTTGTGGCCAAACCCAGAGACAGAGCCCAGAATTGATGTTGGAAGGGATTTAAAGGGCAAACACAGGTGGCTCTAATCCCCCTTCTCACTTCACCTCGGCAATGTAGCTCTTCTTTTGGCCAAGTTCAGCAGCCCACTCATAGAATCCTAGCATGGTTTGGCTTAGGAAGGAACTCATGACCATCTCATTCCATGCCCCCTGCCTTCCACTATGCCAGGTTGCTCCAAGCCCTGTCCAATTGGTCTGGAACACCTCCAGGCATGGAGCTGCCACAGCTTCTCTGGTCAGTCTGTTCCAGGCTCTTTCCAATCTCACAGAAAAGAATTTCTTCCCACTCTCCTTCTAAACCTGTCCTTTGTCAGGCTGAACCCATTCCCCCTTGTTCTCTCCCTCCAGAGCCTTTTCCAAAGTCCCTCTCCAGGTCTCCTCAAGCACCTTCAGGCATTGGAAGGAGCTCAAAGGTCTCCCTGGAGTGGCTCCAGCAGCTCCACATCCTTCACCAATTCCAGAAACCAACCAGAGTTCAATAAATAAGAGACAAGAACTAGGTGGTTCAATCATGGTTACCAACACACGGAAATGACACAGGAACCCTCAAGCCCTGTGCTTCTCTGAGACCAGCTCTGCATTCCTCCCACGCTGAGGGAGGGCATCAGCAGGAGGGATCAGCACTGCCAGGGCAAAAGGTGGCCTCTTTTCATGGCCCTTGAAACTGGGCATGTGAAATGAGGTACACAAAGCCAAAGGCCAGGTGGACCTGTCATCTCTGAATGGCTCTTTACAGTCTTCCCAGGAACATGGATGACAGTCACTGTTTTGCCAGGGAAAGAGCATCTGTTGGGAATGTGGTGCAGAAAATGTGCTTTCTGCTCCTCTCAGAGCCAAAATTCCTACCCATTCTTGTAAGTCCCTCTAAGATAAGGACCCTGTTCAGCTGAGTGACAGTGAAGCAAAAAAGCAACCCAGGAATGCATTTTCCTGCTCACAATACCCTCCATTCACATGGGTGACTTCGCACTGGCACACAGGAGTAGGGAAGGAACCCAAACACATCATTTTACATAAAATCAGATGTGTTGAGGGTTGGACAGATCTCACAGGGATATGGAAACCTCCCCTGAAAACCCAGTCAGGGAGAGCCTGAGCTCTTTTGTGGCTCTAGGCAGGAAGATGCTCAGGATCTCCCAGAGAGGCTCAGCAGGCAGTAGGATTGTGCCTGGATCTCGCTCTGGAAAGGCCAGTGGCTCAACTGAGAGCTGTGGGAATGATTTATAATGCACTGAGAGGGGCCACAGTCCTGCAAGGGTCTTTCATCAGGAGCAAAGAGCAGCCTGGAGGGTGGGGAATGCTGGAGCTGTACCACTGTGTGCTCATCCTTCACCTTAATGGGGAGCTGCCCCCAAAGTTGCTATGTATCACTTTTATGGTTCTCCTGTTGGGTATATTTTGGAGCAGCTGTTTTCTGTGGCTTTTTATGGTGGGAAGCAGCCATTTGCCTGCTGTGATATCCTCACAACTAATACTAACTCCTCATTCCCTTTGGTTTTATTTGGGTTTTTTTAATCCATTGGTTTGATTGGTTTGTGTGGGTTTGTTTTTTGGGTTTTTGTCTGTTTTTGTTTGAGTTTTTTGTTTGCTTTTTTATAAGACTCAGGTGAAGATGGCATAGCAAAACTCAAGAAAATGTACACCAGGCTTGACTTTCCAGAAATTGCTTTTGGCTGGCTTTAACTTCATCCTCCAGGCTCAGGATAACCAGTACATTTGCAGATTTTCCTCTGCAACATCAGCTTGCCCAGACTTTGTTCCGTGTTTCACAAATGGAGAAGAAAATGGATATTGTGCCAAGCTTCATTTCAACCTGCATCAGCATGATAGAAAAGAAGAAAAAAAAAAGAAAATATTCACCAGTTAGAGCAGAACCAGTGTCCCACCATCTTCCCCTCCACTGTTATTAATTTTGTACATTTAGAGGCAAACCTGGGCCTAAAGCTTCCATCGCTCAGTTCCTGATGCAGGACTGCAAGGGTCCCACAAGAAAGGCTGGGACAGAGTGTTCAGAGTGTTCAACAGGGCCTGTGGCAACAGCACAAGGGGCGATGGCTTTCAGCTGCAGGAGGCTGATTGAGGTTGGATCTCAGGAAGCTGCTCTTTCCACTGAGGCTGCTGAGGCACTGGCCCAGGCTGTGGATGCCCCATCCTTGGGAACAGGGCTCTGAGCACCATGGTCTGGGGGAACGTTGCTAAGCATGGAACCAAAGGCTCTCTAGCTCAACTGTCACGTCACAATCCATGTCCCACCTGGAACTGCCAGCAGCCAGCAAGCAGCACAACACAACTGTTGGCCCTGGGGTCAGCACACCCTGCACGCTGCTCCTGCCCGCTCCTGCCACCCTTCTTGTTCCTGCCCGCGGATACCCCCATCATCAGGTTCCATAGCTGCTGAAGGCCTGGATTGTGTCATCCATCCCTGCAGGATGTTCACATTTGTCCTGAGGAAGGTACGGTGCCATTCCATGGAGGTGGATCCCCCCAGCTGCCCGGGTGGGCTGGAGTTCTGGGGGGATGGGGTGGGACAGGGACCCCACTCTGAGGTTTTGCTACCTCTGCAGGCTGTCGCAGACAGAGAGGAAGAGATGGAGGTGGACACACAGACTGATATGGAGGAGGAGATGGATGTGGATGGAGTACAGACTGGAGAGGAAGAGATGGAAGTGGATGTGGAAGAGGGGACGGATGTGGAAATGGAAGAGTACGCTGAGGACATGGAAATTGATCAAGAAGATGAAGAGGAGGCCATGGTCCTGGGATGAAGATCGATGCCAGCAGCGACAGGTACATGGTCCCCACAGGCAGAGTGGGTTCCCTGCAGCCAGGCTGGGGCTGGGCTGGGTGGTCCCTGCTCCGGCCACACAAGCCCCATCCCAGTGCCTGGGGCCCAGCCCCCAGACCCAGCCAGCCTCAGCTCTGGCAGCAGGGTCCCACTGTGCCGGCCTGGGGACACACGGAAGAGCCCTCTGTGCCTGACTGGAGTGACCATGGCACCTGCTTTTCTTCCAGGACTGATGGAGATCCCGCACAGAGATGGAACCATTTTGTACATAGTTTTTCGAGTTTGTTGTTCGCTTTAGGATATAGGTTTTAGTGCTACGTTTGGTCTTCTGTAAATACGTTTCAAATATTGTTGTTAGATATGTTCTTATGTATATACGTTCAATAAATTGTTGTTGTTACAAATATTCTTACAAAAGTCAATGTGTTCTGTGTTTTCGTTGCTGTTCTTCTGTAAATAAACAACCCTGATTTTTCACACCCCAGTTCTCTTTCCATTTGCTTCAGGCACAGGCAGTATTGGCAAAGTTGTGTTTTCCGCTTGCTCCAGGTTCCCAGGGCGGGAGGTTCATGGGGGAGCTGGCACAGCCACCCCAGGAGTGGGGGTACCTGCACAGAGGGGTCCCACTGACAGAGGTCACTGTCTCCTTGCAGTCTCTCTGGACACACTTGGGAGCTGCAGGGGCAAATCCCAGCGTGCCCGGTCCCGTGGGATCCCATGTTGGGACTCAATGTCCCAGCCAGGGTGAGCACTGCTTGTGGCCCTGGGCTCAGCATGGCAGGCCTGGTGCTCACGCCAGTGCAGACTTCAAGCTGGCCATGCACAGCTCCGTGTTTCTCCCAAAAATATCACTGCTGCTGCACCTGGGGTTCCCCAGTGCTGGCCTTGTTATCCCTACTGCATGGAGGATCGCATGGCATGGCAAAGGATGGATCCCATGTGGCATCCAACCTGCCCTGATCCAGGCTGGGCACCAGCAGGGGAAGGTGCAGTGCTTTGTCTGCACTGCAGTGTTTTACTTATTAAAAGCCCCCCTGAAAGGGATCCCAGCACATTCTCTCGCTAGGGGAGGAAATAACACAGCAAGAAAGGGCTGATGTGGAAAATTAATCTCATCACATCCCAGGGGCTCACCACCCCTTTCCACACCACTCCTGGATGGAAAGCTGCTGCAGGGACCTGAGGTCCGTGCTGGGGAGCAGCAAATCCGAGTGTTGAGCAGGCAGGGTGCCAGCAGCTGCTCCTGCTCCTCCTCTGAGTCACTGCCCTGTCACCTTGCCGAGCAGAGCCAGGAGCACCTGAGAGCAGCTCCAGCACCCCAGAACGTCTTGTTTCCTGTTACTCCAGCAGCACTCTCTGATTACACATTCTCCCCCTGTAACGACGTATATTTGTATTCCACGGACAGATTCAAGCGAGATCTCTGTGGTTGCTCTTGGGGGATGAGGTTTATTCAGGATGCATTGTGACCCTGCCTCGAGCTGCCAGACACAGCACGTGGCTGGGCCTCGGGTGATGGGGGAGGGGGGAGACAGAGAGGAGAGCAGGGACTCCCGGAGGACTCTCCAGGAGGGGAAGGGAAGATCCAAGAGAGCGTCCAGCCCCCCGGAGAGCCTTTATCAAAGGGGGCTCCAGGGTGGGCTGGAACAGGACCTGGGCCAATGGGGTCACAGGCACCTGATGGTTCAGGGGAGGGTTACAGGTGTGGGGTGAACCATACATTCTGGGGGGTGAGATGGAACAGTCCATTTGCTTTTGGACCCCGTTGTAGGTGAGGGTAATTGTCCAGCCAGTAGGGGGCGTTATATTCGTCCTGGCTGTACCATTGTGGTTCTTAATCATATTTATCTACCCTTTCCAACATCTCCCCTTTTTTCACTGAACCATTTGAAATATTAAATATTGACTTAACAACTATTTTCTGCACACTTGGAGGTGTACAGGGTATTGTTACTAGAACTATACTTATTACTACTGGAACAGTCAAGCTTATTTTACAGAGTTCCTTTAGCCAAAGTGCAAGGCTCAAACCATTAAGTCAACTGTGTAGCTGAGATGGCTTTATTGTTATTAAATCACTGATTATAGTAGGGGAGGCATTGTCAGAAATTTTTGGAAAAGGTTTTATAACTAAACGGGTTGAAAAAGGTTTGTTAGGGTTTGTGTTAGATATATAGGTGGTCTTAGAGCTTGCAGGCTTGGCTAAAGCTACTCGGCATTTGTCTTTGGTTGAATTATAAGTAAAACTTCAATATAAAAACTGAAACAGAAGAACAAAAACAATATGCACGCATTAAACGATAGAAAGTCCATTTTTCTCTCGATGACGCAGCGTGGTTCAGGTCTGGGTGCTGGCTTCTTGGCTTGTACTTGTAGAAGAACTGTCTGGTGTGGGGGTGTCAGCGGATTTCGGAGCATGGTAAGGCTTCACGTTCTTTCCTGGGACCCACTTGAGTTGTCCACCTGTGGAAACACAAGAAAAACCTTTCCCCCACGTTAGAAGACTGTGTGGACCTTGTATATGTCCTGAATCTAAGATTTTGAGTAAAGCTGGTGGGTGCCCTTTTTTTTTTACTTTTTTGGTGTTCAGGAAATGTCTATAAATTTGGAGGCGAGGCTCTCCTGCAGAGCTACTTAGAAAATTGTGAGCATATAGAGCCTTATTAGACCTCTTCTGAGGTGTAGCCTGATCTACTCCCCCTTTCTTTAGATTTAAGATGTGTTTTAGGGTTTGGCGTGTTTTTTCTATGGTAGTTTTTAACTGTGGTGTAAGATAGGAAAAGGAGATACCACTGTCCTTGAGTACTGGTAGGACTTCTTTCACCTCCTGAGAGGCGACAGCTGTTCGCTGGCTGAATACCACTTGCAAGGCTTGGGGATGCAGACTGTTGTCTTTGCAGCTATCATATTTGATTTCAGGGCAGTTTTTCAGTTGAAGATTGCTGGCACCTTGTTGAGAATTTGGTGAGAGTGGGATAGAAAGGTTAGAGTTTGCAGGGGTAAGATAGTTCTCTGTCTGTCCTTTGTTTGTCGAAGCTGCAGTTACATTGTTGCGTTCACCTTGCTGAGGCAGAGTGTCTCTGTCAGGGCGTGGTGAGGAGCTGCTAGTGTGGGAGGCAGGGGCTGCTGCCAGCTGAGGCAGAGGAGTGAGGAGCTGCTAGTGTGGGAGGCAGGGGCTGCAGCCAGCTGAGGCAGAGGAGCAGGAGGGGTGGAGATCGTCGGCAGCAGTGCTTGTGGGGGACTGGCCTTTTCGAAAGGATTTCTTGTAGCTGTGGCTTTGGGTGCTGCGGCAGTCTGAAGATCCGGCGGAGGGAGAGATGCGGAGGGATATGGTGATGTGTTCGGCAAACCAGGAAGTGGTGCCGGCAATGGGGGGTTCCGGGGCTCTGTAGCAAGAGGCAGGGGCTGCGGCACTGCAGGGGGATGGGGGGGTGGGGACGCCGGGTTTGCGTCTGCCGGGGGGGCCGGCTGCGAGTGCAGGAGGCGGGCGGGCAGCGGGGGTGCGGCGCTGTGTGCCAGGACTTCTCTGGGAAGGACGGGCGGTGCTGCGGCTGCAGGGGCGGGGTCCGGGGCGCTCGAGGGAGAGGAGGTGGAGGCAGGGGCGGGGTCTGGGCCGCGGGGGAGGGAGGCGGCGGCCGCGGGAGTGGGGGCCGCCCAGCCCAGGGCCGGCGCCTGGCCGGCATAGTCGCCGGACCAGGGGACTTCCGGGCGGGTTGGGGGGGCGGCTGCGGAGGCGAGCGTCTGCAGCTTTTGCAAAATCGCAGCTGACTTTTGAGACTGTGCTTGCAAAATAGCCATTGACTGGGTTTGTGCTTGCAAAATGGCTGTTGTTTGATTTTGTAAAAGTTCGGCTATAGTAGCCACCATAGCCGGGACAGGCAATGCTGGGGGGCCGGGCGGGGGGGAGGCGGGGCCCGCGGAGTGGTTTGGGGGGGAGGAGGTGGCCGCAAGGGCGGGTTCTGGGTTGCGGGTGAGGGGGGGGGGCGGCTGCGGCAGGGAGCGCCGCTCGCTCAGAAACCGGCGAGTCGCCAGCCGCCTCGCCGGCATTTTCGCCACAGCGCGAGGTGGGGGGGCGGTCCGGCGGGGATAGTTGAGCCACGGCAGGGAGCGGTTTGGCTGCTATCTGCGGCTTTTGAGAAGCGCAGAGCTCTGCTAACACTCTATAAGCAGGGAGTAACTCGCAAGCACAGGGGTCCCGCCGTGAAATGTCATTAAAATTTGGTGCCCCACGGACTCCCAAAAGTCTCCACAAAACACAGCAGAGCGCTCGGCATATGGGAACTTAAGTAAGATCCATTCTAGGAGTTTCCGTAGCTCTTTTTTAGGCAAATTACTATTATGGCTACGTAATAAGTGGTTAAGTTGCTTATAGAGATCTCGATCAGATGTAGAGTGGGACTGTCCCATTTTTAAACCAGTGTGGCTCACCTCGGTGTCGCAGGAGCGGGGTCCTCTGTCAGGGTCCGACGTTTACTGCAGTCGGTGCTGAGGGCTCACCGCGAGGTTTCTCCAGAGCTTCAGCGCGGGCAGTGCTAAGCAGTGCTCGCCTGTGCTTTGTGTACGTGGCCACGTGGCGCGGCAAGTCTCGTCACAAAGCCTTGGGTCGCCGCGGAATCGCGGCGATCTCTTGTGCTCGGAGAATAATGGCCAGAAGTCGTAGAAGGGCTCTAAGAGCTCGCTACTATGTAACGAGTCGCTGAGCTGTAGGATGGCTTCGGGACTTTTTAAAGAGCTCCGGTTCGTCACTGCCTAGCAGCAAAATGCCGTGCTCGCGACAGCGATGGCGAGGAAATACCTGGTTATTTAGTTAGTGTCCATGGAAAGGTGTCCTACAGGTAGAAAAGCTGGAAAGCATCCAGACGGGTGCAGTTGCAGGTCACCGTGGGTTCGTATTCGAAGATGGGCGCCAGTCTGTAACGACATAGATTTGTATTCCACGGACAGATTCAAGCGAGATCTCTTTGGTTGCTCTTGGGGGATGAAGTTTATTCAGGACGCAGAGAGGCTCTGCCTCGAGCTGCCAGACACAGCACGTGGCTGGGCCTCGGGTGATGGGGGAGGGGACAGACAAAGAGGGGAGCAGGGACTCCCGGAGGACTCTCCAGGAGGGGAAGGGAAGATCCAAGAGAGCGTCCAGCCCCCCGGAGAGCCTTTATCAAAGGGGGCTCCAGGGTGGGCTGGAACAGGACCTGGGCCAATGGGGTCACAGGCACCTGATGGTTCAGGGGAGGGTTACAGATGTGGGGTGAACCATACATTCTGGGGGGTGAGATGGAACAGTCCATTTGGCTTTTGGACCCCACTGTAGGTGAGGGTTATTGTCCAGCCAGTGGGGGGCGTTATATTCGTCCTGGCTGTACTATTGTGGTTCTTAATCATATTTATCTACCCTTCCCAACACTGGGGCTCTGGGCTTTTCTTCCTATGGGAGAGAACTGTCCTTCTCCTCCAGGGTTCCATGGCCAAAATTGGGATTCCT